GCAATTTCAGCCTGCAATCTATGAAAAGCACTAAGGGAGCATTCACACCTGTGTAGTCTGCTTTATCAGATTTTGTTTTATTAGTTTGTCTGATTAGTGCTCTATATGGTTTGAATCAGAAAAGCGTGTAAACAGCAGCACACATGCACATTTTAAAGGGGCGTACATACATCTTTCCCACATCTGAAACTGTCGCGTCCCAGATGTTCCTCGGGACCAGAGTTTGTCCAGAGAAACCTCGTCCAGCTGTCCATGACACATTTTTGTTAGATCTAATTTAAAAACTTTCCCCATTATCTCAGACGAGACTCCTCCTGACCTCATTACCGTCCACGCTGAGCGTGCTCCCATCTGTCCTGCCATCAATCATCCTGGAATATTTAAGGCCAATCACTGCGCAGGCTGCCCGGCAGATCTCAGACCTGCCACAGCGGACAGGATTAAGCTCCACTCGCCAAATTAAGAACCGAGTGTGAATGTTATGAACGTGATCTCGGTGGCCTTGTTGATCTCTCTGCTTCTCCCTCCATTTACCGTCTCACCATTTTATTCATTCACGTTTTTCCCTCTGGGGGGCGGCTTGACGGCGGGAGGTGCTGCACTCCCACTGGCATCAGGGAGGATTTCTGACTAGAAATCTTCTTAACACAGAACTTGGCAAGATTTTTGTAGAAAAAAAATACGACAAGACGATCAGTCTAAATCACAAGGAGTCATCCACCCTGATGAGACGCTGAGGCTGCGGAGCTCCTAACTCCCAATTAAATGTTGATGCCTGTGTGCTGACTCTGGGGAAGTCCTCAGTGCTGCAGTTTATGTTTCTCAGTGTGAGCAGAGGATGTGGAACGAAGCTCTAGAAAGTTCATTTGTAAAGCAGCAGCAGCATTCTTACACATTCTTATTGTTCAAACTAACAGAAACAAATACTATATACATAAAAAACGAATGAAGAAACACACAATTGCATACAATAAAGAAACATTACAATGATAAAATGACAAATAAAAACTAAGAGGTATTATAAAATATAAAGCTATATTACGGATGATATAGCTTCCTTCATTTAAGCTTTGTTTACACAACTTTATTGTCTGGAAACAGTCAGATATTGATTCAGGTAAAGTTGCACGTTTAGACGTCACTGCGTTTAGACAAGCTGTACTCATCAAGCCAGGCCACTAGATGGTGCTGTGGTTTTAGTGTGTCGTCAAAACTTTGACTCTTAATCTAAACCTCACACTGCAGCCATGTGTGTTTTCACACCTGTGGAGTAATTCAAACCACTGTGGGTGATGATGTTCCCAAAAACTTAAACTCTGAGACCTGGTTTCTGTTTCAGAAACTGTGATTTCTGGTGTGAACAAGCAAATGGATCGCAACAAAACTGCTACAGTTTAACAGGGAACCAGCTTTGTGTAAACAGGACTTTAGTTCTGGTTCTGGGACCAGAGGAGTCAACATGGTTTACATCTGATAAGCAACTCCAAAGACCATTATATTATTCCTTTCAGCCCATAAACAACATTTAAAATTCTGAGTCAGAAGGCTCTTTGTTACAACCAACCATTTCTGAATACGTTAAAGGTGAAACTTTGAATCAGACACAAAGACCTACTTTTATCAGCTGAGCGCACAAAACCGAGGCTACAAACTGGACAATAACAAATTAGGAAATATATTGCCATGAGTTTGATAGTAGGGTCAAAATTATTTGGTGTTTGGTTCAGGTTAGTGGCGCTGAAGTTATGGTGTGAGCAATATTTCTTGGCACAGCCTGTCAAACCAGTTTGCTGAAGCCCCAGAGGCTGCCGACCCAATCTACCTCTTATGACCGCATTGTGTCCGTCTTCTGAATGTCTTCCGGTGATATGACGCTCCATGTCACACATCCCAAATCACCTCAAACTCCAGCTGCCAAATCTCAATCTCTTAGAACACATTTGGGACGTGGTGGAGCGTGGGAATTGCATCATGGATGTGCAGCAGCAGTGTGACGGTGCAGGTCAATGTGGACAAAAGTCTTTTTGACTCTTTGCCAGGAAGTATTAAGGCAGTTCTCCAGGGAAAAGGGGGGATGAATGTTGTACTTGAAAGGTGTTCCTGTTAAAGTTGGCTGCATGTCATTAATGCTGATGCATCACGAGCGATGCAACTGTTGCATTGGGGTGTGGTTCAGAGAAAGCAGAGCTCAGAGTCCAACTTTGAGCAACGTGTCCTTTTAACATGACCCAGATCATCAAATATTTATCCTTGACTCTCAAAGTCTTTGTAGCACCTCAGCAGACACTTGCTTCAACCAATCATCAGGCTTCTATTTCAGGGTCCCTTCATATGTCAATAAGAATCATTGTATCATCTCAGGTTGTCGTCCTTCTGCTACCATCCATCCCTGCAGGAACGGAGTCTCTTGTTGCTTCTGCATATCTCCTCAGGCCCTAAATAGTTTTGGACAGAAAGATTTCCTCCTTATTTGTGTTTTTGCTACCTTTGTCCCCTATTTCTCCTCACACCTGTCCCGTCACCTGTTATCTTCTTCTGAGAGTCAACTTCCTGTTTTACTTTGTCTTCTGTGGCTAATTAGATGTAATTGATGCTGTACTCCAGAGGGAGAGATGCCTACACACTTTCTCTTTCATCAGTGTCACTTATCTTCTCCCTGTGTTGCTGTAGCAACAAAGAAACTGATACCTGTGCTCCTCTGAGAACAGGTCTTGTTTCACTGGACGTTCATGTAGCTCTAGCTTCGACCGAGAAGGTCTGAAAACGAGAGGATTCTAAGGTTTGGTTTTAAAACAGAGAAACAGAAGAATATGGAGCATCTGCATCCAAAAACGTTTTTATTCCAACTATTGGAATAAATGTAATGTTTTGATTGTTGATTCTATGTTGAGTAACTTTGTGTTTTTGATGATGCAAAGCACTTCGGAATGCCTTGCTGCTGAAATGTGCTATACAAATAAAATTTGATTTATTGATTGTAGCGTACTAAAATAGATATATGTTCCAGTTGATCCGAGGTTAAGCAGCGCATCTATGAATTCTTGCTTATCATCATATTATTTAATTTGTACTGATGTTCTATTTTTATTCCTTCTATATTATTGCAGTTTTGGACATTTCTCTTTGCGTCGCACATTGCTGGATGGAAAGTTGTTTTTAATTATGCTATATGAATAAACTTTATATGATTTAAACATAGGTACAGAGTAAGTAAATAAGTTCACATCCTGCTTCCAGAATCCTTGTGAAGGATTATTTTAAGAGCATCAACCCTCACATCATGTTTGGTATATTTGGATTTTTTTTTTTCTGCCAGATCTTTCATTTCTTGCACCAAATATCCAGCATGACCGAGACCAATATTCAGCTTATTAACATAACTGTTGCATGATTTCCACTCAAATGCTGACCCAGTTTCATTTGGTTGAAGAGACAACAGCTTGACATCTTCTGGGTCTAATTTCCAACATCCCTCTAGAGAATAATGTAAGTCTGTGACCTCCAGAAGGCAGCCTGCATGAGGAAACCGTCCCAACACTGGGATCTGCAACACCCACAAATCATTTGCTGCGACATTAGTGGACCACTCATGTTCTTTGTAGTGTCTAGTCTGTGGAGACGTAGTAAAAAGCTTCAGCTCAGGCTCTCGCAGGGAAACTGAACGTTATAGTTACATTTGATTTCATCACTTCTTCCACATAGAGGAAGTTTTGTTAATGACAGCTGATGTTTTTTGGCCTTTTTTAGCGTTATAAATTTGCATGTCAGTCACATAACCCGGGATCCCATCGTTAGTTTTCATACGTGTCCAGCTGTCATGTTTCCACACTCAGAGAGACGTCAGCGCCTTGAATATTCCAGAATAGCTCAGGTTCAGGAGGGCAGAGACCACATTTTTCAGCGTGAGAACGCAGAAAAATGTGGTGCTAAAAAAAATTATAATAATAATAAAGTTCTCCAGTGTATTTAAATACTCCTGCTGTTTGCTCTCTTGTGTCTTGTCTTGGCTGCAGGAAGAGGCAGTGAAGTGACAGAGGCCAAATAACACAGTTTGAACTCTTTTATTTCTCATAATGGATGCAGAGAAATCTTTTAATTACAGTAAACAGAGACCAGAGTCAGCAGCAGTCTCCGTCTGCAGCACATCCAGTTATTCTCTTTTTGAATCTGTGATTTATAAACGGTTATGGACATGGAGAGAGCTGTAATGTTTCTGAGTCTTGGCTCTCTGCTGCCCCGGTCTGGCTACAGATGTGCACTACATTTCAGCCCATCAGTGAACCCATCTTCATTGTTCTTTATTTGTCTCACCTACAGTTTGGCCTGGTTAAACAGTGTTGGTTTAGATTAGTGTTATGGGGGGAAACTAATAGTTAATCCTTGATTATTATTTTTTTAATCAGGAATACATACAGCAGACTGTTAAGTAACTGATGGGCTATGATTTTGGGAATTTCAGGATTTGAGCCTTTTTTTCATTCTAATACTAGATTCTAGGTCTGCAACTAATAATTATTTTAATATTCAATTAATCTACCAATTATTCAGTAGATCAGTGAGGTAAAAAAAAGGCACTTTCTACAGTTTTCATTTAACCACTTAAGTTTGTTTCATACAATATTAGTAATAAATTAAAATATACAAATAAATTAATAAACTCCTTTTCTAAAAAAAAAAACTAAAAAAAATAAAACAAATATTGCCTAAAATGCGACAACAGCATTTATTTAGTGAGCATTTGTGGCAATAGATGCATCTGCAGCTAAAACAAAATACTTCTAACATCTATATGTGGAAAAACTCAGCCCTTCCTGCTGGACTCAATATCAATACAGTGTATTGATAATCTTATTAATATTTTTGGGTTAAGCAAACTTTAAACTAAACTTTAGTTTAACTTTAACTGTCCTATCATTAGACCTAGAAATGGTCAAACCAACATGTGTTTTCACTGTGTTTATTGGCTGTTTATGACATAAATAAATATCATAAGACCTAATGAGGAAAATCTTTGTTTCCACAGGCGTGTGGGCCAACATCCAAATGTCTCAAACCAGCATGGAGGTGGTCCAAGGTAAACTGGTGCAGCTAATAGCCTCGTACGTTGGGAACCCAGACGCTGACCTGGCCACCAGCACCATCCTGTGGAACTTTGTGACAGACAGCACCCAGCAGGTGAGGAGGAAGTCTAATGTATCTCTGTTCCCGTGGCTCTAAACCTGGGAGAATCTGTCCTCCAAAAAGCTTCCAGTGTGTAAACCGCTTCATCCCGGTCCAGTTTAGAACAGCGTCTGGGTATTTTTGGTCTGCTGAGTGTGGATTAATGAGCTGTGCAGATGGAGGAGTGGGATCTGGGCAGATTTATTCAAAGTGAGTTTTCTGTGTTTCTGAACAGTCATCCAGTGTCCTGCTCCCCTCTGCTCTCATTTGGAGCCAAAAACACAGATGATACGAATGAAGTGTGACAGCTCTGAAGCTTCACCTGAGCTGAGACACTTTCAAGAAAGCTGTAGCGAAAAAAGCAGCCATAACTCAGCTGCACAACCAGGCATGTAGGACTTTTAGTACAGAAATATAACAGACACTTTCCCCCCAGTAAAGATGATGTAGACTATCATCATGCTGGCTAATTCTTGCTTTGTGGAAAGGCGCCGACATTTCATGTTGGGGAGAAAGTGGAGCAGCTGTTCCCCCAAAGTCGGGTATATCAAACTTGTTACAGCTTACAGATTTTTTTGTTGCAGAGCTGTGAATAACTTGGTAAATCTAAATACAGGGAACAACCAGAGGAACAGCTCTAGTTTGTTGAGCATACAACTAAGTGCCTCTGAGGAAGTGTGCGGCGTCTGATACTGAGAGCTTGGCATCAGTTTGTTGGGGTCCTGTGGGTTATTGAAGTCTGTTCAATGATTTGAGACTCTTCCTGGCAGGAAAGGTTGCAGTCAGGAAGTTTTGCTGACTGGTTTGTTTGATCTGCTCCAATGTTCTTGTGGATGGAAAAAGCCCAAGTTACACAGACATGAACATCAGGACTCCATCTTTGTTAGTGGAACATCGCAGTTCTGCTGCAGCGGTCTGTTGTCTTGAGGCTGTGACTGTTTGGGGCTTACACCCAACCCCGAAACCGCCTACAATCTGGTCTGCTGTCGTACGAGTAATCGCAGGCCTTTGATTGAAGTGGCAAGAAAAAGAGCAATGTTCTCTCTGACAGAACTTAACAATAAGCAAGTACCGGTACATATTTATCAGAAGTCCTCATACGGCCTTCCCACTGCTGCCTTCATCAGTGTGGCAGCAGTTTTCTTGAATTCAGAACCCATACAAGGAAAAGGTTCTGCTCAGACGATGATAAAGAACAATCTGCAAGAACTTTGAAACCATAAGAAGAACTTTTTTATTTGCAACCCTGATACAGAGAATGTCTATTTCTCTGTTCTTGCAGACAATGCATGTACAGACCTGAACTCATTAGATACTGATGTTCATAGGATACACTCACCATTAGAACTGAAATCTATGAACTGGTTTGAAAAAAGTTTTTTTTTTTTTTTTTGTATTTCTTTGTCTTTTTTGCGTGTGTAAAAATCCAACCTCACCCAAGGGACAACAGCTTGTCATACTAGTGACATTAGAAATGACTCGGTGCATGATGATGATGATGATGATGATGATGAAGGGAGGCTTTCGAGTCCAAATTGAGTTTTTGGAACTGCAACATGATTTTGAAAAAATGACAAATATTTTCAATTTTCCGAGCCAGAGATGTCGGGATTATGAACATCCCTGAGACCTCTGACCCCAAATGAGTAGGCATGTTAGTCAAACTGCTCTCTCTGTCCTGGACAGATGTACTCAGGCCTGTTTTTAGCCGTATGTGCAGCTGTTGTGCTAAAGAGAATAAGAAGTTGCTGTATCTGTCCTACGCAGGTCATCAGCTACACCAAAGGCACCATCAACGAGGGCAGCCTCCAGTTCAGGGGCCGCGTCGGGTTCCTGAAGAACATGCCTTCGAGTGACGTCTCTCTGTACATCAACAACACCAAGGAGTCCGACACCGGCCGTTATGTGTGTCAGGTCATCATTCCTTCTGTTACTTCTAATCCCGCTGAGGTCTCTCTTGTGGTGAACGGTGAGGAAAAACGGCTAAATGTCTGAATTTCAAGGTCTGAATGAAGATATGCTGCTGGAAATGGCAACACACCCAAAACCTCTGATGACTTCTGTGTTTCCCCTCAGTCCCTCCTGCTGTTCCCAAGTGCTCTGTGTCCGGGAAGCCGGTGCTGAAAGGGAACGTGACTCTGATGTGCACGTCCAGTGCCGGGAAGCCTGTCCCGCTGTACAAGTGGAGGAGAACCAGTCCTACCTCCGAGGTCTTTTTTGCACCGATGCTCAGTGAGTAAAACTGCAGTTTTGGTTTCGTCAAACTCTGTAGGCACGACGAGGTCAAAGTGAAAGCTTTTGTCATGTAAACTAATGAGAGAGAAATGCATTAATTACATTTTCTACACTTAAAATTTTTCAGTCTTTAGCATCTTATTTTAGCAGTTAGTCAGCATAGCCAGCAGTCTCCATGTGTAAAGTTGAGATATTGGAGATATTTCCCTCAACTCTGAGATATCCAAACTACTGTCAACTTTTCCAAATCCAGCAAATTTCATGACAGACAGAATTTGAAACTTTAAAGGATAACAGAGCAAAATATGAGAAGAGTAAATCGGCTGTAGCTATTCCATTCACCCTTCCTGTTATCCTTCCTGAAAGTCAAACATTATCTGTGTCTCCGTTGCTTTTTCATGCGCTTTTTGAAGGTTTGCATTACAACAAGTTGATGGAAATGGCAAAATTGCGACATTTAAAAAAATTGCTCAAAATCTGACAATTGGATGGAAACATAGTTGGGGATAGTTTCATTTATCAGCACAGACTGACATACTGCAAACAAGACATAAAGGTTGATAAAGTTAATAACGTATGACTGATGACTTGGTGGTTCGACAGTTTAGTCCGGTTCAGAAAACGTGTTAGTCTTGTTCCTTTGATTGTTTTTTTTTTTTTTTCTTTACTGAGTCAAATGTATAAAGTGGTTTGTTGGAATGTGTCTCCATGACAACCTGCCACATAAAGTTTGTGCAGAGTTCACACATCCTAAACGCACAGAAAGCTGTTTCTAATGGTTGGACGCGTGTCTGTGGTCACCCTGCTGCTTCAGATGAGAACACCGGGGATCTGAAGCTGAACAACCTGAGCAGCAACATGTCCGGGACGTACGTGTGCACAGCCAGCAACACGGCAGGAAGCGAGACCTGCTCCGTCACCCTGGACATCATCAACAGTACGTAACACCAGATATAATCGCAAGCTGTACTTAAACTTCTGAATCTATGAAGCAAACTCCGTTTTCGTTTTTTGTGTGTGTGTCATGATTTCAGCCAATAAGGTCGGAATGATTGTTGGCGCGACAGTCGGATCGGTCCTCGGTTTCATCTTCCTCCTCTGTGTCTGCGTCGGGTTTCTGTTTATTTTCAAGAGAAGAAGAGACAACGAGGACGACATGGCCAATGAAATCAAGTGAGTTCGTCTGGTAACATTTATACAAATCAAAACTGATGTCAGAAAAGCTCATTTTACCAATATTTCATTGTTGACGGGATAAAGCAACTGTATTACCTACATCATCCGTATAAGACACACTTTGCATAAGAATACAAGGGAAAAAAATCCTCATAGTCTGACAAATGGCGACAAACCTCAAGGAACTAGAAATGATTTGTAAAAGTCTCAGTTACGAGAGATAATTGATAAAACTTCTTCAAGTTATTACAGTACAAGCTACACAATCTACTTTGTTACTCAAGTCTTTTCCATATTGGCTTCAATTCTAATACAATGACAGGGTGAAATCAAAATTGTGTTCAATACTGCATGGAATCTAAATCATTTTGAATCTACCTTTGTTAGTTTTTGCTATACAAAGCAGTGAAACTGAAAGGAGATGTGCATTTTCTTTAACATATCTGTAAGTGAGTTGTGCGTTTAGCAGAATTAGGAGGTGAAACAGGAAACTTATAGTTTAATCAGCTCAGAGAATGTGTTTCAGTTCAACAGGTCTGCTCCTGCGCCTCAGCATACACCACTCTTCACCTTCACCAGGTGTCCATGCATCCTCCAAAAGCCTTAAAAAGCATTAAATGCGTGCATCTCAAATTAAGGCCTGAAAATGTGCTGAATTGATAGAACAAAATTAGCATTTTGTCATGACAGGACTTGTTATTCTACCATATTTGAATCGGTGTGAGGAGTGAAAAAAGTGGATCGTTCCTTTAACCCCTGATGTCTCCCCAACCTGCAGGGAAGACGCTCAGGCTCCGAAGCGCGTCTCCTGGGCGAAGAGCGGCATGGGCTCTGACGTCATCTCGAAGAACGGCACGCTGTCCTCCATCGCCTCCAGCCCGCGCCACAAAGACAACCACCACCACCACCTGCACCAGTATCCCCAGCACCCCGCCTCGGACACCGCCTCCATCATCACAGCCACGGGCAGCGCCACCGGCTACAGACCTCCCCGCCAGCAGGGGGCCTCCACTCCCACTCATTACAGCTACAACAATAGCAGCACGCTGCCCCACGGACAGCCCGCCTCCGCCCAGGCCGCCAACGGCAGCTCGCAGGCGGTCCAGGAGCGCTACGGCCACCTGCCCCAGGCCCAGCAGCTGCCCCAGACCTACGCCCAGCTGCAGGGGCAGTTCCAGCCCGCCCCGTCCCCGCCGCCGCTGCCCACCTCCGCCATCACAGCCTCCAACATCCACCGCATGGGAGGGGTGCCCATCATGGTGCCTGCGCAAAACCAAGCAGGCTCGCTGGTCTAACTAGAAGTGCCGCGCCACGCAGTTGGACTGACCGGAGGCTCAGCCGGGTCTCTGGAGGGAACGCTTTGCGTTTTTATTTTATTTTATTTTTTAGCAAACAGGACGAGAGGAAGACGTCACTTACTGTTACACGCTTTGAAGTCAGCAGGCTGCCATGACAACCATTCAAGACATGCTTTTTACTTGCTTTGTATTCACTCTTTATATTCTGTTCTCACAAATGACGTATAGATAAAATTCCCTTTTCTACTTTTTTATTGTCATGCCGTTCTCCATCTGTTTACCCGGCAACCAGATTGTTTTTCTGTTTTGTTTTTTTAAGGGTTTATTATCCCAATTTTCAGCAAAGATGTTACAGGAAATAGGCGGGACGTAAATCTCTCAGCCACCCTTTCTTACAACAACTACCTGAAGGACAAGTCATTTTTTCTTAAGACCCCTTCACATTGCAGTGTTTAAAGAAAAGGCCAGAATATGTTTGATCTCTGTAGACGCTCTGCAGCACGTGGAACAATAAGGTGCGTTCACAATGCAGCCTGAAGTGACCCAATTCCGATTTTTTTTTTTTTTTTTTTTTTTTTGACGTAATGCGACCTGTATCCGATCTTTTCATGGCAGTGTGAACAGCACAGGTCGGATTCTTTTTTGAATGTGACCCTTATTCGATGTGTATCAAATGCGACCTAACATCCGGGTCGCATCCATCCGAACTGAACGTCACCGATTCTCAACAAATCTCACTGTTCTGCATCCTGATACGCGCAAGCGGGAAGAAAAACAACAACCATGACGGATTATATGAGAATTAAGTTGTTAATATGCTGCTCCAGCCGGACAACAACTTCAAATATGTAAGCTAAGCTCCACCGTTAGCCTCCATGTTTACTTTCGCAAACACTGAGGACTTCTTCTTTTTATGGCGGTTGGCAGAACACTGAGAACGCTGACGCTATGGCGCCCTCTAGTGCGCATGCGGGACACTTTCAGGTCGTTTGCCCGTTCACACTGTAGAACGCATACCGGTCGCATTTACTGGCAGTGTGAACGGGCCGGCAAAAAAATCGGAATTGGGTCACTTCAGGCTGCAGTGTGAACGCACCGTAAGGCTCCCAGCAAAATACTCAAACCTCAGTGAGTTCTTCGGTCGCAGATGTTTTAGTCATGATGCCCCAGAAGCGTCATCTTTGGTACAGACACGGGAGACAGATGAGGAGGAATAACCACAAGGTTTGAATCGCAGATTTTACATTTCCCCACAGCTCGACTCTTAAAAAGCGACTCCAAGGGTTGAAAGTCTCACTTTGATCAGATAAGCGACGAGAAGAAAAAGCATACATTCGGCATCTGGAGTGCATAATTCATTCGGTCTACTCAAACTGAGTTATGCCTGCCGAGCACAAAACGTCAGTCTTTGAGGTGGGGCAACGCATACGCACAGAAACCTGCTAATAGCTGATGAAGATACCGTGTTGGTTTTCTCCTCCTGTATTTAGACGGAAACTCTACAGATTGTGAGGAAGCAGCCTGTGGTGTTGCGATGGAGACGGAGCTTTGCGTTTCTTTGGGTAGTTTAGATTTGCTGTGATCCGTTCAATGTTAGAAGGATCTTGGAGATCCTGGCTGAGATCCAGCTTGAAGGTTTGGGTGGATGGAGTTCAGTTTGAAACATCCTCTAGTCTCTAGTCTTGAAATCTGAGTATGAATCTGATTCATTACTGCTTTGTTGTAACTCTGCATATTTTCACCCTTGCATTATAATATGTTACGTTTCCAGTAAGACAAAAAATCTTTATAAATATGATATTTGTTAGTTTTTAAATGTGTTCCAGACATTTGATTTTTTTTTTTCAGGTCTAATCTGTATGGATGGTGATATTGAACATTGATGGCAAATTAATCTGAAACACTGGATACTGAACCAAAGACAAAATGGTCTTCGTTCCTGACATGTTACATCTTTTCATAGCAGCAGATTTACTTCATTTTACTTACGAACTTACGAAGTTCTAATCTGAGTTGACGATTTCTGAAATTATAGAGGCAAGCACAAAGGCTAAATAAAAGAAAACTGTTGAGAGACGTAAGAATTTTATTCATTTAAAATTGCAACAGCTGCCGTATGGAAATTAGTAAGCCATATTGAACAAATCCTTACACGAGAGAGCGCATCAGCATTTTCACGTGTCTGCTTTGTTTCAGCTGTCAGTTTGGTAATGAACAGGAAAACTCAGCTGTGATATAACGCTGCAGTAAAACTCATTAAACCTGTAAATGTGGAGATGCAATGTTGGGGACAAAAGTAGTGACTTTAAAATTTTCTGAATAAATTACAGGGTAAATATTGTGTTGAACTGTGAAGCTCTGAATAAATGACCCCATGTTTAAAACAAACAGAAAACTTTAAGCTAAACTGTTGACAACGGTATCGAAAAACCCCAATCGGATAAAGTCCTGCTTTTACTTTGAATCATGTTTCTGCTGGAGGGATTAACTATGAAGGGCTGACTTTCCTTCTTTTGCATTTTTTTTAATTATTATTATCATTATTAGTTTATAATCACCAAAAGTCATAACTCACTATTCCTGATCAATTTGCATGTTCTGAAATGTTTCATAGGAAGAGATACAAATTTAAAATTTGTGTCAGAAATGGCAGGAGCAATCCAGTGAAGAGTAAAAATGTATCAAATATTTGTTGGTTTACAGAGAGAACCTTCTCCACTTGCAAGAATTTAACCAGAGATCTCACGCTACGAACAAATAAATTCTCTTCTTTAGGAATGTATCCAGGTGGCCGCATATATACGTTTCCTTATTGAAGATGCTTTATTTTTTTACACAGATTTTGATTTTTTTGTCCGCTTTTAAAAACGTTTGTCATAGTTTCTCCTTTCTCCCGCTGTGCTTTTTTTTTTTTTTTCTCTTTCACACAGAGACATTTATTATCTGTCTGGCTTTCGACCACAAACGCAGAAAGTGAAAACATTCCAGAAACGAATGATTTGAAATGTTTCTTAGCTGCTGAGCATTTTTTGTTGAATGTTGACGACACTTAAGCAAACTGGAAAATGTTTCGTTTCTTACGGTTATCAGACTCCGTGTCTTAGAGTGCGACTGAGTCATTTAAACGTGTACGTTGATGATTATAATGTATTGTTAAAGTCAAGCCTTTATTTTTCTACAGCAAACATAAGAGCACGTGAACAGCGTTTCTCTTTACTATGTAACTTTATGAACTAAATAAGTGCTCTCCATCACAGCAGGGAGCATTCTAGAGGCTTCCTGTGGACAAACAGGCGGTGAAGCGTCTTATTTATACAGAAGGCCTAAAGTCCAGACATCAATGTGCTTTGTCCACTTGTGTACTCCATATTTATGTTCATGGAAAAAAAAAAGCCTGTTATTTTCCAATAAAATATAAACAAACTCTTGCGTTTGTTTGTTGTTGTTTTTTCTTTAAAAATGGTTCATATATCATAATGCTCCACACTCAATGCTACAGCTGTTGCTGAAAAGCTGCAACATTTATTCATTCAGGATATCGATTCATGAAGCATCAGTGGGAAAATGTGAAAATCCAAGACCAATTTGCACAAACGGCAAACAGATACTACCTCAAACCTTTCTTTTTTTTTTTTAGGTTTTGTTGTCTCTAGTGGCCCTCATTTGAAAGTAGCTCGACAGGAAACAGGGTGATGAGAGAGGGGAAAGACATGGGCCAAATGTCACCAGGCCGGGAATCGAACCTGCGACAACCGCCACGAGGACTAAGGCCTCAATACGCTTTGCCCCCAATCACAAACACTTCTGAACAGATGACAAAATCATATAAAAAAAAAATTATAATAACACTTGACCCACTGCCTCTTAACGCTTTCTCTCTCTAAAATTTCATGTAAGTGTCGTCATTTCCGGTCTTAAACCACAAGGTGGCAGCAAAGCATCTCTGTTGCTGAGGTAAGTAAGAGAGTGTGGGAACGGCATCAGTTTCCATATAAAATCAGATTTTTAAAATGTTTTAATGTTTTTTGCTGCAGTAACACGGGGTATAAAGTTTGCTGTAAATCTGCAGCGGCCAGATGTCCAGCCTGCCTGCCTCAGACCGATCCACACAGACTCGGCTCTGCGACCGCAGCCAAAAATGCATCTACTAAATACCGACTTGAGGGAGTTGAATATTTAATTTATGTGATCACTTATCCCATGTTAAATGCACGTATTTAATAGTCATTGCTTTGTTAGAAATCTTTCAGTTTGACATTAAAAGGTTGTTGTTTTTTCCTTTTTTCGTCAGATTTTGTTGGTCATGATTGATTTGTAAAAGCGATAAAATACTTTCAGACATGGTTAAGCATATTCTCTTACACAGTGTACTCATAGATACATATCTTAAGACGTGAGCTGGTGGATTTTTGAACACTGATGTAGTGAATACATAAAAGGAAGCAATAACATTGAGGGTAGAAGTTTATTTGAATTAGCAATTAAGCAATGTAACATTCATCTACATGGGGCAAAAGAAAAAAAATGCTAATATGCAAATACATACACAGTTATTAAAATTATTTTTTTTTTCAGTCACTGAACTTAAAACAACATAAGATTTACACGTGTAGGTGGCTGCGCAGAGTGCAATAACAGTTACAGTAAATAAACGTTAAAAAAAATAATGTACAACATAATATATATATTAATATTTCAAAATAAATAAATAAAAAGTTTGAAGAGCACTGGATATTCATTGTGAAAGAAGCTTTGTAACGCACTGCACCCGTAATAGTAGTGTGTTTCTTCTCACTCTAAAGGAACTACAGTACTGAGTTGGCAGAAAAAGGTGCATGGCTTTTGTATTCTTATGAATCACGTTTCCCCATACAATCCACTTTACATGGATGACTGTATATATGTGTTGAAAAGAGCAATCGTTCCGTGATCAACGGCTTTGTAAATAAATAAATAAATAAAAAACAACATGACAACGAAACGAGAGATGACAAGACAAGAGAGAAGCGATATCTGAAACTGGATCCCTGTACCGGAGTGATCTCTTGTGATCGTTAACCAGCTTATCATGCTCCATTAGTGAAGTCCTGTAAAAGTGGGACTGGACCGTCCCGGTCGCTTTTTCAGGCAGCGGCCATTTTGGTGTCTGGCCTGAGACGGGTGTGCAGGGAAGGACGAGGTGAGCTCAGCAGGAGGCAGTAGTCGTGGTTTAGACGGATGAGATAATGCGGACGGTGTCGATCCATGGTTGGTAATGGAAAACGAGGG